TCACCAGTGTATCCGGATGCATTCGTCTTCATAATAAAATTCGTGTTAATTCAAACTCCTTGTGAGCTCAGTTTACATTACTTTCAGTCTACACAGAATCTGCCCCGTCACTATAGTATTTCAATGCTAGACAGGACACGAACACAAAACAGTACAGACCAGACGAAACGCCAAAGGACAGAGACACAAGGGGAAGGGTAGAACAGACCCCAAGACGACTAACACACGTGGATCACGGGCCACAACAGAGGAGGGGAGATGGACACAGAACAAGTCAACTAATCAAAACACACGTATATCCAAGACCAAAAGGACAACCAGAAACACCCTAATTAACTACAACAATCTTCAAAAACCACGAAACGGTACGGGACTAAAATGAAACAACGAGCAAGACGTTATTTTTAATAAACCTAAACCTACAGCGTAAACCCAGGACCACATGGAACGGGGAGGTTGGCACTGTCTTATTAGGTTGTTTCTTACCTGGGTCGGTCTGTCGGACATGCTCCCCTGCATGCTAAATTTTACTTTATCTTTATCTTTATTAACGAAATTTTTAGCAAGACTACACTGTGGCTTTTTTTCCCCTTTAGCACAACCACCTTGTCGCTTAGATTATCTAATTTACAGCACTGGACAAGGGGATTATTTTAAATATAAGGGTCATTCACGTGAACCTAGTAAAAGCTAGATGCTGTTGAAGCAACTAAAATATAGTGCTAATCAAGGTGGTTTGAAGTTTAGCTGTTCCCCAATCAAACAAAAGGTCCTTCAGCTGTCCTCAGGTGAACCTCCTACCTTTTGTGCACAGACTCGCTGTAGTGTCTCCTCCACAATCGTACGGCAATCGATTCGTACGTGTCTCTCCACAAATCGTACGGCAATCGAATTCGAGTGTCTTTTCCACAAGATCGTACCGCAATCGAATACGCTATTCACTGTGTTGCCGTTCCACTTGAAGACGGGAAATCGATTACTAAGAGACGACCCTGATTACTTAGGGGACAGTCGTCAATACATTTCGCTGCCCGTTATGACCTAAAACTGCCTTTACAATGCTAGGACAGGCAGTTTTACTGCCCGTCGCTTTCTCAGTTTCTTGTTGGAGACGCCATTTCAGTCTAATTAATCCTTGTTGGAGTTACATGACGTATAACGTTCATAACGGTAAAAAAAGAGGCTGAGGGTGAAGTAGAGTCCCCCTGTTATAAGGTGAAAAATACGTGAATGAAATAGACTAATAATAAATAGAAATTCAAAGTATAAATACATGTTAGTGTCGGTGTGTCTCTATTCTCACCTGTTTCACGTTCTTGACTAGTTTATAAAATTCCAACTTTGTGCAAATAAAATGCGGTTGCTGTATTGTGGAGAGTGGACAACGGTTGTACGTTTGCGATCACTTCACAGCGATTCCAGTCTAATTAATCCTTGTTGAGTTATAAGCGGAGTCTTCATAACTGTAAAAATGAGGTTGGAGCGAAGTAGAGTCCCCCCTTTAATAACGCAAAAGATGACATGACTTAGACTTAGTCTTTAGGGAATAATCAGGGTTAATCATTGAGATTAAACAACCACCAAACCCAGGAAAATTGCTTAAGTATAAATGTAAAGAGCACGTGTAGTAGACGTAAGACGTCGGTTTGTCTCTGTTTTCTCCTGTTTCATGTTCGACCATTTGTATAGAATTCCAACTTTGTACAAATAAATGTCATACGAATTATGCAAAAAAACAACCGTATAATTCAACTCCTTTTCATTACCCCTCGACGATCAATCCTCTCTGACACACTCCCCATAGTGTGACTCGGTTTCCACACTGAGTCTATCTTCTGTGACTCAAACCTCTTCTCGGCTTCACTCGTTAGTGGTCTATTCCCTTAGTAACGCTATTTCTTTGATACAAGCACTTAGAGACTCGCAATTTCGACGGAGACTAGACTTTAGTATAGCAGTACCTGAAATAACTTCAAGTTGTCTGGCTTATTTTGCAGACTACTGAATATTTAGAGACACACTGCGCACGTCGAAGATTTTTTCCGGTTAAACAGTGGACAGTCTTTGCGTATAGTGGTTTTAGCAGAAGAAGAGACGTTAGAAGACGTTAGTCAGTGGCGACTCCTCGTGAATCGCCCATTTTCGAGACTTCAGTACGAAGTGAAATATAAAGTGTAAATATGTGCAGTCTCTCTCATCTTCATTTAGGAAATCAGTTGATCTTCATGTCTATGTGACAATTTCCTATGGACCCATTTTCATCTTCATGACTGATTTGAAGAAATGATTTCAGTTTTCATATTTCTTTAAACCCGAAACTTTACATGATTATTTCCAGGGTACAGTACGAAGAGGCCAAGAATTGGGTAGGGGAACCACATCTTTCATGTCCATAATCACAAGTTTTACATTCTTCATCTTTCATGTCCATAATCACAAGTTTTCATTCTTCATCTTTCATGTCCATAATCACCAAGTTGTACATTCTTCATCTTTCATGCCCATAAACATAAGTTGTACATTCTTCATCTTTATTCCAATAATCACAAGTTTGTACATTCTTCATCTTTCATGTCCATAATCACAAGTTGGACATTCTTCATCTTTCATGTCCATTAAACCCAAGTTGTACATTCTTCATCTTCATGTCCATAAACACAAGTTGTACATTCTCATCTTTCAATGTCCATAATCACAAGTTTGTCATTCTTCATCTTTCATGTCCATAATCACAAGTTGTACATTCTTCATTCTTTCATGTCCATAAACATCAAGTTGTACATTCTTCATCTTTCATGTCCATAATCACAAGTTGTACATTTCTTCATCTTTCATGTCCATAATTCACAAGTTGGACATTTCTTCCATCTTTCATATGCCCATAAACATAGTTGTTTACATTCTTCATCTTCATGTCATAATCACAAGTTGTACATTCTTCAATCTTTTCATGTCCATAATCACAAGTTGTACATTCTCATCTTTCATGTCCATATCACAAAGTTGGACATTCTTCATCTTTCATGTCATAATCACAAAGTGTACCATTTCATC